ACATGGAAGCTTGAATCCAAAAGAGAAAATGGAGTTACCATGGCTCTTGCTTGGGTCTGTGTAAAAAAAAAAAAGAAGAAAAAAGAATGAAATCACTTTGTGTGAAAGTCACTGATAACATGTTTGCATTCAGCTTTCATCCAGAGGAACTTACAGAGAAAAAGGAGATCAGCTCAGGAGGATAAAATGTACATATTTACTCAGGTGTTTGCTTACCTTCACGGGTCCCATTTTTGCCAACTGGAATAAACAACAAGTTCAGTTTAGATTAAGTCTAAAAAATATATATATACGCACAAGAAAAATTTACAACAAAAAAGGAGATCAGTGTTTATCTAATCTGCTCAGGAGGAAAACATTTACATATTTACTCAGATGTTTGCTTACCTTCACGGGTCCCATTTTTGCCAACTGGAATAAACAACAAGTCTGGTTTATTTTAAGTCTAAAAAAAATATACATATATACTGTATATACATACATACAACAAAAAATTACAACAAAAAAGGAGATCAGTGTTTATCTAATCTGCTGGGAAGAATAAAATGAACACATTTTACATAGATATTCATTTACCTTCACGGGTCTCATTTTTGATACCTGGAATAAATAAAAGTTCCTTTTAGATTAAGTCTATACATATATATATATATATACACACATATATATATACATACACACACACAGAACAAAAATTTACAACAAAAAAGGAGATTAGTGTTTATCTAATCTGCTCAGGAGGAAAAAATGTACATATTTACTCAGATGTTCACTTACCTTCACGGGTCCCATTTTTGCGAACTGGAATGAACAACAAGTTCAGTTTAGATTAAGTCTCAAACATGTTTGTTTTCTGATTTTTATTCAAAGTGCTCAGCAGAACTCACCAACAGCCACGTGGACTGTGGCCTTAAACCGTCTGGGAACGATGCAGGTATACATTCCTTCATCCTCCTCCGTGATGTTGTGCAGCGTCAGGGAAATGTTCCCGCTGGACATGTCTGTGTCGTTTAGAGATGTTCTGTTCATGAATCTCGCATCAACGTCGGATGAGGGAGATTTGCTTCGGTAAGAGTACACCTGAGTTCCGTTGAATTCCCACAAAACTGTGAGGCTTCTGACATCGGATGCTGGATGCAGATGGCAGGGAAGGAGGGCGTCGCCGCCCAGAGGCACCACGACCCGCTTAGGTGAGCCGTTGACCGAGTATTTCCCTGGAGACACAAACAGCCCTTTAGAGTATCCTTGATTTAGTCTTATTTGAGTTCAAATGTGAGCTGGGTTCTGACTTCCAGCCTATCAGATTGCGCCCCTTGACTTATAATGGAAAATAATAAACAGAAGAAGAAAAACAAGGAGCAAAACCATTTACTGTCACACTCAGGGGTGACATACGTTTAGATTTGATTTGTATTTATTATTTACAACAGAATTTCTCATCTTAAGTACTCTATTCAAACCAAGTGAATTAATCAGGCCTCTTCTCT